GCACAGGTTTTACCTGGTAACATCACTACCGATGGAGGGACCAACTGAGAGCTTTCTCACTCCCTTGCCTTTGCCATCACCCTCTCAACAGGTCTGCTCAAGCCCCAGGAATCAATGCTGTATTTTACAGAACTATACAAGGAAATGAAGCAGTATCTTCAGGTGAACGTTGCAATGCCAGCTCATCCTTCATCTTCCAAGGATACAATTGGTTCAATCTGCATTCAATTACTTATCTCATTCTGGTTTTGAGTGGGTGGTGGTTGTTGTTGAATGAAAACAATAGCAAAGACCAGTTACAAGTTATTTCCAGAACAAGGATATTGTTTGGGGTTTTTTGTTTTGTTTTGGTGTTTGTTTTTTGTTTTTTTTTTTTTAAGGGGGGGTGTTTGTGTTTTTCTTTTTAATTTCAAATCAAAAGGGTTGAAATATATAATTTATATTCTAGCCTGCTCAAAACCCCAAACTGTTGTCTTCTTGTGCTAAAAAAACTAATTTACTGTGGTAAAATTGTCTACAAGAATTACACTGAAGTTCTAATGAAGAGGAGATACTTCTGAGAGGTCTACACTGTTCTTCACAAACTGGTGTGTGGCCAGGACCACTACAAGCTGCCAGAGACACTGTCATTAGAAGTGCCTGAAAGCGTGTGCAAATACTAGCATAGCTGCACATTTACACAGGGTACACCTGTGTGTGTACCTTGGGCACACCTTCGCCTTACTCTTTTGTAGCCCAGCTTGTCATTCACCACCTCACGACCTGAGCCCTGGCAAGCCTCAAAAAGAGGGAGCCAAGTCACCACTGGCAGAGCACACAGCTTGCTGTATCAGCACAAGGTGAAGTGTGGCAAGCAGCAGGTTATGTGTAGCACAGCAGAACTGTGCCTTGTGAAAGCACCACCACAAGTAGAACCTAAGATTCCTGCCTGAAAGAGCTTGGAAGAAGCTGCTGTAACAGAGCTTGGAGCTGTGTCAGACACTCTTGGTTTTCCTGGCATCTGCTACAGAGCAACCACAGGGGAATCAGCCAAGACAGGCAGCAATTCCCTGGTTTTCCTTACAAAAATAAATCACTGTAGTAACATGGCTATAGTAAACCAAAGCCAAGGAATCAAGACAGAATAGGAAAACCATCTAGAAGAATGGTATTTTCAAAGCTTTAGAAGTATGTGCAGATTGTAGAAAGGGAAGTTTGAACAATTTTCTCCTGCTTCAGATCACCACTGTAATTCAGCTTCTAATTAATAATCAGACTGGTTCAGTTTGACTGATTCCAACATTATCTGAAAACAAATACTCCTTTGCACAAATTAAAACACTGGTCAGCTAGTGATTACATGTAGGCTGCCACTTCCAACCGAAGGGAAGAAACTGAAGATTGCATGAAAACAGTAGTGGCACTTACTAATCCACTTTCAGGTAACAAAGAACAGAGCCCTTGAAGCTTTCTGCTGTTGTTCAGTGTTCATTTCAGTGATGTGGTTCTGTTCCCAAGCCTCTCTGCTTCTCTCGGGTGGGCAGAAAAAATCACACTGGATAGAACAGAGTAGGCACAGTGCTGAACTCTGTAAGGATTGTTTAGTACCAACTGGGGAACTGGCTGCTTTACCTCTTAGCAGAGAAAACTAGTCTTGAGGGATGCTAATGAATGTGGTAGAGCCATCCCAGAATATTTTTAGGGCAGTGTTTCAAAAACAATTAATAAAACTGCATAAAACCAGGCCAGTCTCATTTATTTTGCCACTAAAAGTGCAGGGAAATGCACATATAGTGGTATGAACCTACAACAGCACTTCTAAAAAGTGCTGTCAGAAATAAAACACATGCAATCATTTTCCCCATGCGCACTGTCGCAGCCAAATGACAGAGACACAGAGATATTCCATTAAGTTCACAATGATGTTCCCTTTTGGCTTGCAAGCATTATAACACCTCACAGCTATGCTGAAAATCATGGCTTGAGTCCTCCCCAGAGCTGTACACACAGGACTGCATTTAAACACAGCTTATGTCTCAGAGGAGGGAGCTTGCACAGATTCCTAGGATATCTTCATAGCTCCAGTTTTAGCTGGTGCCATGAGCTAGTACCTCCTTGCTGCTGGTTCCATCCATTCCACAACAGTAAAGTGGAATGAGTGGAACCCAGTAAACTACTGGAATCACGAGGTGTCAGGACAGTGGCAACACGAAGGCAACACAGAGAGATCAGGTTTGGTACTGCAAATCCTCCCAGCCAAACAAACTGGCTTGCTGTCAGAAAATGAAGCAAAAAATGTTGTGAAACAGGTAATTTTAAGGAGGAACTGGCATTGCCTTTGACTTAAATCATGTCCTCATGGTGGAGCTGCAGAATGTCAAGAGATTTCCTGAGAACAAAGTGTAAAGAGTGAAGCTACAACTTAATCCACAATGAATGTACACAAGGCTCCCTCCCACGAAGCACAGCTGTGTGGGTTCTTTTGTTTTCTGGAGTTTTTTGGGGAGTTTTTTTTGAGAGAGTGCAATTCTCCCAGTGTAATTAGAAATGGCTGCATTTGCTCCTTTCATTGAAATCCCTGGGAGACTCAACTGGATCAAATATCTCTCCCCAGACTGTGGGTAGCCTGAATGACAGGCAGCACCCATCTGGGTATAGAAGGACAGCTGAGGATACTCACACTCTGAATGGACTTAACAGCAGGGTAATGAAAGGACAGAGTTTAGGGAGAATCTGAGCTCACCTTCTGTCTCATTTATAAGCTTTTTATTAATGATCATTGCTAAAACTCAGTCTGCAGAGTCAGCTACAACCTAAGCAGAGGTCTGAAATCACCCTGCAAGGAGAGCAGTGTCTCAGAAAAAAATGGGAATGAAAAAAAAGTGAAGTTACTTCTATAAAAACATTGTCATGAGTACCAGTCAGGAGGACAGAAAAACATCCCTCTGACATATGCTCTGGTTGAAGAGTAGCCCAAAAGTAATAAGACATTAAACAATTACACTATGTATTAATAATACAATACAATTATACAAATAATGCAAAAAAAATTGATTGAATAATGTATCAATACATATTACATTAAAAATGGAAATAAAAAATGTTTCTCCAGGAAAGTTTGATCTGCTGTCTCCTTGAGGTTGTATGCAGAGATCACTACGAAGCACAGTGCCAAGAGCTCTGTGCTGACCCTGACCGTGTCCTCTCTAGCTGAAGCAGTGTACCAGTGCAACAGCACAGCACAACCCAAGAAGCAGAGCTCACCAGCCTATACCCAGCACTGGATCCAGACATCCAGGGTGATGACTACACTTATGGATCCAGGATAGCGTTTCTGCAGTTTGCATTGTATGAAACAGTTCACACAGTCCAGCTCCACACAGCACTCAGCTGAAGGTCTCTTCAGCACCCAAAACCTCTATTTGATATTCACAACATTCTTTGTGTTTAACACGGCCTATGGAAACTACAAAACCAGCACTCTTGATAGAATCATAGAACTGTTTAGGTTGGAAAAGGTCTTCAGGATCATCAAGTCCAACTGTTAAACTAGTACTGCCAAGTCAAGACTCCAACTCAGCTTTTCATAAAGAAGAGTAATTAGAAAAAACTTCTTGGGTCACTAAAAAGAAAGAAAATGTTTATCCAGTGGAGCAAAACCTGAAGGATTGGTAGGAAACTTTGCCAGAGAAAGGGTTTAAACAGAAGATCCAAATAAAGAACTACACTCATTACCCCATGCCAGTTAATCAGTTAATCAAGGGACAAACTAATATCATTGCTACAGAATGAAGGTGTAGTAGTGGCACACCATCTACCCTTACAGAAAATGCCTGTGAAAGCTAAGTCCCTAAAAAATGGCACTATGTTTATGGGGGAGTTGGAGAAATGTAGTTACTTTTTTCATTTGCAAATCATTTATCACTGAAGCTCAAAGTAAAATCGAAGTAAAAAATGGGGATTTTCATAAACTCTTGAGGTAATCCATTTCAAAATTTCTACTTGCTTTCAGAAAGTGTCCTGTACCGAAAACTATAGGCTCTTCTGCAGATCCCTTTCACACTTCTTACCACACTACGTTACAAGAATACTGTTTCATGCGCTAAAATTACTACAGAACAAAACTTGAAATGGACTGTGGTGAGGCACTCACCATTCACAAGCACATATGCCATGTACACCTTCAATCAACTTTTGAAAGGGATAAAAAGCAAAATTAATACCAGGAAGAAATACTAAAAGGAAAGAAATAAAAGGAAAGAAATATAACAAAGTCCATAAAGACAGAATCCGATAGGAATTTATCACTGTAATTACAAATGCAGCAAAAAAAAAATTGGTGAAATTTGTAACCTTCTGCACAGAAAATAGAAGAGGGCCAAAGTTCTGCTAACAAGTAATTGCAATAGTCTCTTTGGAATTGTATGTACTCAGCTAATTGAGTATTTTCATCTGCACAGAACAGCTATATTGCAGCTTACTGGTTGGATAGTAAAGAAAACCAGCTAAAAAAAAGGTTCAGTGGATGTGAGTGCCAAAAATAAAGATATTATAAATAAAAAGGAAATAGCATTCATGTATTTAGCATCTTTCTGATCATCCAAGCCTTTTAAAGCCCTTCAACAGTCTTTTTAATATAGCAGGAAATAATCCTGGATATACTGCATGTCTGACCTGTGTTTCTTCAGCTTTATCCTGTTTTCTTATTTCCAGTAATACATAACCTTTGCATTAGAACCTCTCTGGAGCCCTGGCAATTCACAACTAATCAGTGAAGTGAGCAAGCTATTGTACGAGGATTAACAAGCTCTACCCCTCAATCCTGCATTGTGATTAGCTCAGAATAATTACTTCTGGAGATAACTGATGAAGATCATATTAGGCTGAGGCAAAACAGAGATCTGGCTAAGTGTGAATTAATTACCGCTGAATAGAGAGGACAGGGGACAAAGATATCACAGGATTATTGCTATTATTTATGAAGAGGTTCATGGAGAATTCAAATAATTCCTTATACTCACAATAGCTGTCGGAGTGGAAGCCAGCACACAGTACAGCACAAGAGGTGAAATGAAGCTCTCATCTTCTGTCCCAGGGTAGGGTTTCATCAAATTGCCATCCTGACAGAAGAAACCTTGGATATGCACCTGAAAAGTGTCGGTGTACTCAAAGTAGTAGGCGAGCAGAACAGTCCCAGCCATGATGACAAGCTGAAAATAAAGCATAATCACAGAGAGGCATTAGTTGCTTTTTGAATAGATGCAGCTGTGCCTCTGAGCTATTCCAGTCGTGTGGACCATCCTCCTTTCACCGTCACTCTGACAGCCACTGCCATAATGGGGTGTGAGTGTGTGTGTGTGCTTCTGTGCCTTCGCTTGCAACATCTGTTACATAAACCTTTTTGACAAACGACACTAATGAACGTCTCAGATAGGAGCAGGTCCATGCAGAGGGACGGGGGCTGTGACAGCCACTTCATCAGAGGGCATATGAGTGTCAACAGCAGCAACGATCGATGGCAGCGCCAGGACGAGGGGCAGGAACCAGCAGCAATGACAGCTAAAACCTGTGCACAGTGGGAAAGGATTATTACAACAGAAAAAGGAAGCCAAGGCAAAAATGCTTCCCTCCTGCAGGTGCAAACCCATGCTGGGGAACGTGCACCTTGTGCTAATCCAGAAGAGCCCTCTGTGTCCCAGTAGAAAGCTTGCCTTCTGCCACTCACCCTTTCTTAGAGCTGCTTCTTATGAGTAAAGCTTTAAGTGTACTCAGAAGTCCTGACCCTCCAACCAACCTGTGGGGGCTCCTGTACATTGCCTGGCTTCCCCATTCCAGCACAACTCCTTTTGAAAAAACTGGCTTGAGTCTGAAATTCCATTTTTAGATATAAACTGCAGGGAGCCATTCTGGTCTCTGTTTTCACAGTTTATTGCTGGCTAAATGGGTTGGTTGGAACCTTAGCTATCCACTTTTTTGGTGTATATCCACAATTACTGTGCATGTCAGTGTCTGCAGCAGCTTCCAGGACTGTTTCAACAACATATCTCAGAACAATCTCACCAAAGTTGTCACTGCCCTCACCTCATGAAAGTAAGCAGATTTACTAATTCTTGCTCCCTCTCTGCCAGACTGAAAAGTAAATCTCACATCAGAGTCCTCATCAATGACAGAAACAGCAATATTGATTTATAACTGTTTTTTTAGAGGTAATGGTTCTAAAATAAAGGAGGATCGATTCAGATCAGATATAAGGATGATATATTTTACAGTGAGGGTGGTAAAACACTGGCACAGGTTGCCCAGGGAGGTGATGGACAATTCATTCCTGCAAGTGTTCAAGTCTAGGCTGGATAGGGCTTTGAGCAGCCTGGTCTATTGGAAGGTGTGTTCCTTCTCATTGCAGGGGGCGATAGACTAGATGGCCCTAAAGGTTCCCTCCAAACCAAACCATTCTATGAATTTATGATTATAAATTATGACAAACATAGGATTTGATTCAGAATCCTCTTTATGAACACTAGTGCCTTCTGCCACTATTACAGGCATTGTTACATATACAAGTTATCTTGCAACATCACAGAAAACAATGAACAAAGTGAAATAACCAATGCCAAAGTGGCCTGGTTTTGGTATTTTGTCTCCAGGATTTCTGCATCAAAATTGTATGCTGTGAGATTATTGCAAGACTTTTGAAAATTAATTTTGGCAGTTCCAGTGCAAATATAAACTTGAAGCTATCTTTGCATTCCTTTGAACTTGCACACATGTTCTGACACACAGCCAGCCATTAAACCCATTGTATATTTGAATGAGAGTTGGATTAAAATTAGAAAAAGTCCCACAAAATGAGAGAAGTCACAGATGAAAGTAGAGGATCACAGAATCACAGAGTGGTTGAGGTTGGGAGGGATCTCTGGAGGTCAGTTAGACCACGCTCCTCTGCTCAAGCGGAGACACCTTCAGTTGGCTGCCCAGATGGCTTTTGAACATCTCCAAGGATGCAGTCTTCCCAACCTCCCTTAGCCACTTGTAAAACAGACTTAAGAAGGTCACAATGAAGCCCTGGTTCAGAGATTCCACATCCTCTCCCATTTTTTACCTTTAAAATGAATAATCTTATTTTGTAGCCATATTATTTTCAAGACCTTATATCTCCACAAAATAATTTTTTTTTTTAGCAAACATAAAGCAAGATGTTGTTATTTGTGTATTCCCCAGAGACCCTTACAGCACCCTGGATGAGTCCAGGAGATTCTCTATAAACAAACACAGCCCTATAACTAAGGACTCCGAAACTTAATTTAGACCTGAATTTAACTCCTTGTGCAGCTGCGGTTTTCCTGATCAACTTTGGGCAACTCAGTTTTATTAATTAACATCAGAGGAAGGCAATGACATTATCACTGGCTGACATGCCCAGATTAACATTTGAGTGCTGAGATAAGGAACAGCTGCAGTCTTGCCTTGCAGACATCTTGGAATTTGAATGCTCCAGGACTGAAGCTCAGTGGCCACTTCTGTGCAACAGAGACAGGATGGGGATGGACCCACAGCCAGGCAGAAGTGACCCAGGCAGCTGCTCTTGGGATGGGTGCTACTGCAAATGTACACAAAGGATATGTACATCCTAATGCATCTTTGCAGACTCCTTGTAGAATTATGGCAGTAGGACTATACTCAATGCATTTTTCATTACTTTTTTTCTTTATATACAAGCACAAATGTGCTTAATTTCCCTCAACAGGTACCCTAAAAATTCCCCAAAACTCATTTCAATCTACTGGTCACAGATGCCTTATCAATTTCAGTCCCCTCACGTTTTTCAATTTATAAAACTAGGACCCAAAATTACAAATGCAGAAATCCCTGAATTTTGTAGCCATGGTCTATTAATAGCAGATGGCAACTTTGCCTTTTCTTCCTATTTTCAGGCTTACATCCATTGAAGGGAGCAGAGAGAAGAGCGGTTAGGCTGACTTAAGAGAAAGATACAAAACATCCAGTTACATAATTCAGAAAACACAACACATTTTAATGCTGACATTTTACAAGCTTTATTTATTAAACCTTATAAACTCATTTCCTTAAGTTTACTGGGGAAAAATAAAAAATGCTCAATAATTCACTTTAGAAGAGCAGCCAATGAATAGAAGTGTTTAAGGTGCTTAATGGCCTCTATTACCACAGCATTTAACTATGTCATAATCCTCAATATTTATCACCACTACTCCACTGTAAGATAAGAAAATGCTCTTATCACCATTTTACAGAGAGGGGACAAAAGCTGAGGAGATAAAATGACTGCCCTTAGGTCACAGTAGAGCCTGTGGCAGAGCCAAGATATACTTTTCTTCTGGACCAGATTGTTTTGGATTAGTCAATAATCTGCACATGAAAAAGCTCAATGATATACATCCTTAGGTCCCAGTTGTGCAGAAGCTCATTCACGATAGTATAAAGAAAACTCACTGTGTATCTGATTCAGCCCCATTTAAAAACTCATGCATGAATTTAAACCTGGACTTAAGCAACTGGTTTTTTTCCCTCAAAGTCAGCTATTTCAACGGATTAATTATGTAGCACATTAACACCTGTCCCTCCACACACCACCAAATTCTGCCCTGCTCTACAGGCCCACACTGTTTCTGTCCTTGCAGACCTTCCTGTCACTGCACACTTTTGCTCCTCTTTTAAGTTGTGGGAGTTCTCTGCAGTCAAAAAATCACCTTCTTCATTGTCCAAGAAATAGGAAGCAAGTTTTGCAATCTTCTTTGGGCAATGGGTAATTGTTTGGTGCAGAGCTAATCAGGTTTTAACATAACATTTTGTTCCGAGACTAAAAAAAGCAAATCTTTCCAGTGAGCAGTGCAGTTCAGCCCTACTAACCCTGGAGTACTGCTAAATATCCAGAAATCCTCCCCTTCACCCAAATACTCTGCCAGCATAATGCAGAGACCATTGACATCCAAAATCAAAATTATTATAGTACCAGATAGTAGGACTGAAGTCCCAGACTGTATGAACTCTCATAATTCACAGCAAAGCAATTCCCAGTTTCCTTGACAATTGGGAGGTCTTATATATATATATATATATATATATATATATATGTATATAAAATACTCTTACTCATAGGAAAGAGGCCCCTGTTTTGTAAGCAAGAAAGCAAGAGGCCAACTCCATTTGGGAAAGGGGCATAAAGCTGTAAAAGACAGAGATGTTAGAAGAGGGAAGATGAGGTAGTAGGCAGAATTTTTTTATCAGCTTACACTGAAGACTCCTCAGTTGTTAACAGAGGAGCAAGAAACAGAGGGAGAAGAGGCTGTAAAAAATTTCTTGTGTACCCACCAGCCATAAAATCTCGAGGTGTCCCATAAGACAGGCACACAGCCACTGCAAAGATCTCCTTTTGTTGTGTTTTGTAACTCATATAAATCATACTGGAAAGTCTATATGAACTTTCAAACAAATTTGAAACCACCCAAGTACTGCTGCTACTTATACAAAAATAGGTAAATTCTTTCAGCTTATCAGCCTTCCCACACACTATTCATAATAGATCTTAAAATGTCTTCAATGCTTATGACTGATAATTGAAAAATTATCAATTATGTTCAATTATCAATTGTATTCTTACACACAAATGACAACATAAAATACACTTTTATTCCTCCTGAAAGAAGCCAAACCAGTATTGACATGCAGATAGTTAAAGAGATACCTATTAATACCCTTGCTCACTTTGCTTCCAGCAAACTTCAGTGGTTTCAGTTAATTAACTAAAACTGCCACAATTTCAAGAGCAGAACTCCAAAAACTTGCACAAGTGTTTTCAACTCTTGGCATACATGGTGTAAGAGTTGGCTCACATTTTCCACTAATTTTAATCATATTTCTACCCCCCTTGCACGAATAAATGCTAGTGACACATTTTTATGCAAAACCTGGAAAATTCTGCCGTGCTTCTCTGAGGTGATGAGAGCACAACTCTTGGAACAGACACACTGGGGTATCCAATAGTCATAGCATATGTGTGTCCTGGAGTAACTCATAAGTTACTGCCGGAAGGAATTGTTAAGGTGCGTCTTTGCTCTCTAATATCTGAAATATTTAACTGTGCATCCCAGTCTGTTTTGCCCAGGTATGGGTGCAGATACTGGCAAAGAACTGCAGACACCTAGAGAATACTGGATTTGTATAATTTGACTTA